CCGAATAAATACTAATTCAGAACAAAACAACAAAAATCAGCGTATATTACCAAATTTTCACAGACTAGTTTCGATGGTTTTACGGAACCACCGTCTCAGCTGCAAAACCGCAAATGAACCAGATAGGAAATAAGATTAGATAAGATAAAAAGCCTGGACAAGATAAGCAAGTGCGCCATCTGTTGTGAAACCAGAACTAACATAATTCTTTAAAGGCCGAAGGCAAATTGGAGGGAATTAGGATCGTAAACTAGAACAGAAAGATTTTATGAATGTGAAATGCTTAGAAAATCAGTTTCCAATGGAAGAGTTTTGAATAATTTGGCAGCAGAAAAACTGAAAGTGTGGTTTCGGAACCAAAATGTTGAGCAACAGAAGACTTCTGTGTTCCTTTTTTCTAAAATGCCTCGTTCCTTGACGCGAAATTTAAGGCTGTTAGTTTGGCCAATGAAATTAAACCACATGGCAAGGAATCCTAAAATACCCCGGAATAATACGGAATGGGGTCCTGAGTATGGAACGGAATTTTATTGATGGGAGAATAAACAACCCGAAAGTAAATTTCGCAAAAATGTGCAACTTTATAGTAATTGATGGAAAGGGAGACAACAGAATTTTTATAATTCCTAAAACGCGTGCGCCTTTTAGTGTGTTGAGATGAGATTTTTACTGCTTGATAATATGTTGGGGGAAAGCCCTGTCAAAGCTATTCCTTTTAAATAATTAGTTCTTCATCAGGGTAGTTTGGAGGAAACTTGAAGAGCACGGAAAAAATAGGATAAAATGAAGCTAACTTTTGTTTAGTCGGAGACATGATTTAAAGTGTGGTGGAAGGCAACCGATGAAGGTTTACGGTAAACCGTAGAACTGAAGTTGGATGTGTTACGTGGACAGAATGTCGAGAAAACGGAAGAGAATTGCCGTCTCAGTTCAAAGTGAACTGAATAGCAGATCAATGAATTCATTGTGAAGAACTCTTTAAATCATCTCTATTATTCAAACAGGTAAAACAGGCTTATTTTTGTTCTTTGCACGTGGTTGTGGCCGCCATTTGATTGCATGCTTCGGTAAGTATTTTTTGCAATTTTCAAGTTATGTTATATTTTGTATATTGGTATTGTGCTTTGCTTGTTGATTTCATGCATTTGTTACAAAACGTTTTGTTTTCTATTAATTTCAGTGAGGGATTTTTTTGCGTTTTGTGTGTGCTTTATTGTTTGTTAATTAGCTTGATTTCTGTATTGTTTATCATGCCTTCATCCGTTAATCGTTTCACAAATACGCATGAAACGGCCAAAAATTCCTGAATCATCTTGACTTTTACTTAAATGTAAAGTAAAAAATTGATCCCAAAATTTTATTCAAATCAAATCTAATCAAAAACCTTCGAGTCGCGTTTCAAGAATTTGTTAAATTGCAAGCTTGCTTACTTCGGTCCGTCATAAGGGATACACGTCAACAATTGTCCAAAATTGAACGTGAACTCTATAAGCATCTGGAACTCGCTAAATCATGTCCAAAATTCACTGCCCTTGAACAAAAGTCTTGGTCTAGAACGGAGAATGCAGTTAAACTGTCATAAAACACCCTTGCAGTTAAAATTCGAAAAACTTCTTTACAATCTTCCAGTCAAGTAGTTCAAAAAAAATCTTCCCATTGTAAACATCAAGCCAATAGTTAATATTTCTAATGTTAGTCTTTCAGAAGAACAGAGAGAATTCTAAAATATAATTTTAACTTCTCACAAACCTGTAAACCTCGATTCCAAAGATTTTGGCTCCTATCGAAAAAGCTTTCAAGTTCAGTAAAGTTTCAGATTCACAGAAGAAATGATTAGGCATCTTATCGCTCGTAATGTGAAATTCAATAATAAACCTTTGGAAACCAAATCTAACTGCGAGAGAAAGAGCTACATGCGTGGAATTCATTCTAACCCGGATTATTATTTCAAAGGCCAACAAAGGTGGCCAGATAGTCGTCATGGATAGGAAACGTACATCGATGGTGTCACTAAACTCTTAAACGAAGGACCATATAATCAGATCCTAAAGATCCTTCACCTTCGGACTTGTCAAAAATAAAAAACTGCGATCAAATTTCGCAAATCATTTCAGGCAACTTAAAACATTCACTTACCCATCTGTTGCGAATTGTGCCAGATTATATGCTCTTCCCAAAAATTCATAAAAGTGGTATTCCTTTCCGCCCTATTGTATCAAATTAGGTACTGCCTCGTATCCATTAGCTAAAATTTAGTTTCTAGATTTTCAACTCTATTAGACAATAACATTTACACCATAAAAAATTCAATAGAGTTTGTAAAAAAAGTTAAAAACATTTCTCCTAGTAATTTACTCTGGTTTCTTTGATGTAAAATTATTCACCAATGTCCCAGTGGAGGGTGCATTAAGATGTCTAGAAACCAGACTTCGCGAATTTCATTCTCTTGCATCGAAATTGATGAGCTCATTTCTCTCACTCAACTCTGTTTGAAACAAACACATTTTGTTTTCCAAAATAAATATTACAAGCAAACTGAGGGATTAGCCATGGAAGCCCCCTCAGCCCATCCTGGCTGATATCTACATGCATTATTATGAAATCAAAATGTTTGAAACTTAAACTTTCGGCATGGTTCTGCTACGTAGACGATAACTTTACTCTGTTTGAAGGTAATAAAGATGATTAAATAAAGTTCTTTCAAACAATGAATTCTATTGATCCTGCTATTCAGTTCACTTGAACTTGAGACTTGCAATTCTCTTCCGTTCTCGACATTCTGGTCACACGTAACACATCCAACTTCAGTACTACGGTTTACCGTAAACCTTCATCGGTTTGCCTTCCACCACACTTTAAATCATGTCATCCGACTAAACAAAAGTTAGCTTCATTTTATTCCTATGTTTTCCGTGCTCTTCAAGTTTGCTCCTCCAAACTAGCCCTTGATGAAGAACTAAATTATTTAAAAGCAATAGCTATTGACAGGGGCTTTCCACCCAACATATAATGTTGGGTGGAATATAATCAAGCATAAATCAAGCAGTTAAAAAATTCACATTCAACACTAAAAGGCACACTCTTTTTAGGAGATTTATAAAAATTTCTGTTGTCATTCCCCTTCTTTCCATCAATTAGCTATAAAGTGCACATATTTTGCAGAAGAAATTTAACTTTCGGGTTGTTTATTCTCCCATCAATAAAATTCCGAGTTCCATACTCAAGGACCCATTCCGGATATGAATTCCTGGGGTATTTATAGGATTCCTTGCCAGTGTGGTTTAATTTACATTGGCCAAACTAAGAGAGCCTTAAAATTTCGCGTCAAGGAACATGAGGCATATGTTAGAATAAAGGAAACACAGAAGTTCTGTTGCTCAACATTGTGGTCTGAAAACCACACTTTCAGTTTTTCTGCTGCCCAAAATTATTCAAAAAACATCTTCCATTGAGAACTGGATTTTCTAGAGGCATTTCACATTCATAAAAATCTTTCTGTTCTAGTTAACGATCCTAATTCCAATCCAAATTTGCCTTCGGCCTTTTAAAGAAATTATGTTTAGTTCTGGTTTCACCAACAGATGGCGCCACTTGCTTATTCTTGTCCAGGCTTTCTTATCTTATCTAATCATTATTCCTATCTGGGTTCATTTGCGGTTTTGCAGCTGAAGATGGTGGTTCGGTAAAACCATCGAAAACTAGTCCTGTGAAAATTTGGCAAATATAACGCTGATTTTTGTTGTTTGACTTCTGAATTAGTATTTATTTGGCATGTTATTGTGTCTTAACCAGAACATCGAAAGGAATAAGTGAAAAAGGAGATTGACTACCCATTTCCTGCTGATGTTGCGTCAACGCAACACCTGTTTTCCCTTCCTTCCCAACACAAATATAAACATCTGACTGATGTAATGTTCTGATAAAGGATGACCTTGACTAAAAATAGATCACTCACAAAGACGGCGATTCTTTCGTTAAATGTTTTCACCAAAAATACCCGGTCGAAAATTTTGCTTAAAGTACGAGATTAATTATTGTAAATAAAATGACTGTTGAAGCCAATATTTTTTACAGAAATAATCTTCATAATATTCGCTACACAAAATCATGTGCTGGTATAAAATATCTTAGGTAATTATATTTATATACGCATTTATTTTGACCGTTGCGTCAATGCAACAGCAGCGGGTAATGGGTTAATTTGGGTACTTCCCTTTCTGTCCTGAAAATAGTAACTATTTATAACATAACAATCTAAACTGGTTCATTTCAAAATTGATCCACATCATGAGATTTTATATAACGATGTAATGCAGGCACCTCTTATTCAATCACTGAATTAGCTACCTATTAAGAACTGAAGCTTTATGGACTCTTCTACACTTTTTTCTGAATGCATCACTTTTTGTGCTTTGCTATTGCAACTTGCTAGTGCCTGCACTCTTGAAAAATACATTTCACAAGTCTCTCAGTACCAAGTGAAAAAAATTTTAAGGCACCATAGCAGGTGTTTTATTTATGTTGGATTAATCAGAAAAGGTGTATCAGTCATAAATAAAAGAGAAATAGTTGAACTTGCCCATGTCCCGCAAGCTTGTTTTTGATCTTTATGCATCTGCAATGCTACCTACTAACTCCAAGATATTATATATATTAAAACAACAGCATTATTTAAAAATAATATAAAGATATAAATTTTTTATTTATATTTATTGCTTTTAATTTGCTAGTTTGTTAAGTAATAACAGGTATTAATTTCATGGGCATTTGCCAGGGAGTGATAGACAAAAGATCTGCTTTGGATTTGCAACACATATTGGACTATGTGAATAGTATTGCCCAGATAGCATAACATAACAGACCCCAGTAAAGGAAAAACTCTGCCCTAGATGTTTCGAATATTGCATAATTAAAAAGCACTACTCTAGAATTTTTTTCCCTGTTTTTCTAAGCTGTTAACTTTTGCTGTATTTCTACAAAGACGTTGTTTCATCATTTAGATTCAATCGTGGTAAGATGGAGAAACTGAGGCAAGATTTTGGGAACATTGAGGAGAGTTACAAATCTTTCCGGCACAGTCATTGGGCTTTCAGTAAATCACCGTTAACCCATAGTATCAGCATTATTCATGAACCAGAAAATGAAGACACTGCTTTGCATGTATTTTCATCAATTCTTGCTTATTCTGGATTACTTGAACAAGGTATTATTAATTTTTATTGCATTATATTTTTATATTAAATCTTTTCTGCTTTGTTTTGGTTCTTTTACTGTAATTGTGCGACATACATTTTATGCTGGTTTTTAAAGCTTCTCTTCTTAATGTAGAAGACACAGAATGGCTTGGAGAAAGGGACCATTTACAGTTAGCCCAATCAATTTTAGATAGATGTATGAAAAAAGAAGTACTTCTCAATGAATTGTTCTTGCAGCTTATAAAGCAAACTACAGATCATCCTGGTAATTTCTAATTTTAAAATTTGCTCAAGATTAAATGCATAGTTTAAAATAATATTTAAAATTCATAATAAGTTTTTCATGTAACATCAAAATTATGATATTTAATTTCAGTTTTGAAATTCATAAATTAAATTTCCCGGTATAAGTGAAGAAACTTCGCTTCTCTTTATTTTTATATATATCTTTTTGCTTCTTTTGAACTCTTAACAATTTATATCTCTTTTATCTGTAGGCTATTCTAACCTTTGTATAAGTTCTTTTTTTTTTCCTCTGCTCAGAATTCAACTCGTTATTGATTTGTTATAGTATTACAAAGTATTTTGTTTTATTTCTGTTAATATATGTATGTATATATATCAGTTGGAAGCTGGAGTAGTTATAAAGTATAGAATCTGTTAGGTTTTTTAAGATATCAATGATTTTATCTATGATTGTTGTAGCATTTTAAAGTTATTTGATTTGTTATTTTTTGCTCTGTTTTATTGGTGATTGTATAATCTGAGAAAGTATGTGTTCTTAGATGCAAACAGCAGGGTGAATTTGAGGCACTGGCAACTGATGTCACTTGCATGCAGTGTTGCTGCTCCCACAGATAGACTTATTATAAGTTACCTTCATGCTCATCTACGTCGGTGTTCTATAGATGAGGTTACTGAAGAGGGGCAGTATGCACAGTTCTCCCTTAGGGTAAGTTGTAACAAATTGAATTTTTCCCTTAGCATTACATAACTGAAATTTATGGTAAGCATTTATTGTATTATAGCATAAAATGTATGCCATTTTATAAAGTAAAATCTCGTAATGTATTTTTTATGTGTTTTACAAGCCATTACCGATTGCAAAAAAATTTTCATCAATAAATGAGGTGAATGTGATGATGTCCAAATCTCCTGCCCGTATAACCTATCCACGAATAAGTGTTTAGACACCCATGCAAATGTCTATAGTAATCATGGTGTATCACAGGAATGGGTAATCTTTATGGAGCATTTCTAGGAAGTTGAATAACTCCAAATCAACAGTGGCCCATGGGATTCATAAGTGGAATGTGAGTAGTGATTATTGAAATGTGCACCAAGTTAGCAGACTGACAAAACTGGGAGAGAGAGAGAGAGACTGAGGAGTGCTTAGAGAGAAATTTGGAAGAACTGCACCCAACGGATGACCCACATGCTCCAGAAGTTTCAATAGCAATCTGGGAGTGTTGTTTTGATGAATACCATCCATAAGTAAGCACATCTGCTTAGTCATGCTGCCACCCATAAACATGGCAGAATATGGGTCTGGCATCTACCTGGAGAACAAACACCTCCTGCAAGAATACATTATGGCCACAGGAAAGTTTGGTGTAGATGGAATTATGGGCTGAGGCGGTTTCTGTTGATATGGACTAGGAACCTTGGTCCAAATTCATATAAAGCTAAACACTGACACCTACTGTACTGTTTTAGGTGACAGTATGTTTCCTAATTGTGGCAGTTTTACAGGTTGGACCCATGCTACTTTCAGAATGACAACTTTAAGTGTTATAACTTTAAGTCCAGCATGGATTGGTATGGTGACAATGGGGTTAAACAAATGGACTGGCCTGCCCAGACTTTAAACCTATTGAAAACCTTTGGGACAAGTTGGATTGTCAAATTAAGAGGTGCAGCAACCATCTAGTCATCCAATATCTGTAAAAGAACTTACATGTCTGCTCCAAGCCGAGTGGAAGAAAATGTTGATAGCTGTCACTCAAACACTTATGAAAAGCATGCCCCGTAGGGTTGAGGCTGTAACTGCTCTTGTGGAGCCTCCACCAGCTATTGAATATGAATAAATTTTATTTTTTTAATCTATCACCAGGTGTCCAAATACTTATTAATAGATAGTGTATACTGAATTGCTAATTAAGTTCCCTTTACATAATGTTGTATAGTGTATCACTCCACAACAATTTGTCAATGTGCATTTCGTCACTGTCTAATCTTTTATTTATTTTCCTATTTTATTAAATTAAAAATTTGATTTTATAGTGTCTCATGAGATCTTTAGAAACTCATGGTCGACGCTGGCCTCCTTCGAAACAAGAGATAGGCTGCACCATAAGCAGGAGACCCGTGCATGCTAGAATATACTTCCTAGATGGGCAGTTTCAGCCTGTTGAGTTTGACCCATGTGCCTCAATGGGAGAAGTATGTTTTGGTTTCTTATTAAATAATCAAATTCCCTCTAAAAGAAATATACAATAGTTCCTTTCAATATTTTACTTTGTATAAGAACTGCATTAAAACCCTAGTATTTCTTTTCTAGGTTTTGGAAATGGTTAGATCAAAAATTGATTTACGTCCAAGAGTAGAAGGTTATGCTTTATATGAAGTGATCGGAACCAATGGTATTATTTTTAAATCATCTGTGAATTTGTATAATGTATATTTCATAGTTGAATATGCTTGAAGTTCTTTTGCGGGTTTAAATTTATTTGTAATTGATATAACTCTAAATTTATTTGTAATTGATATAACTCTAAATTTATTTGTAATTGATATAACTGGAAGTGCCAATCCATGCAAAATAATTAAAACTTTTTGTATCCTTATAAATAGGCTATAATCTTAAGATGTTACTATAACTGCATCACTGAAGATTGAAATCTCTTTTAAATGATTTATGTTCTCATTTCTTTTATCCTGAGGCTATTGGCCATGCAAATGTGTTTGCATATATGCATATTGTTTTTGTTTCCTTACATAATTTTGTTTTATGTAGTTATGTGAGTTTTCTGTAAGTTATGACATGTGTTTCAAAAACAAAACAAACAAACAAAAAAACCTTTTAAAGGACTAATAAAAGCTTATGGTATTAAATTTTTTTATAATATGAAACTGCATTAAAATTTATGTCAACTGATGTAAATATGTTCTATTAACAAAAACTGCATTGCTCAAAATAATGAAAAAAGTTTATAAAGTCTTTATATCCCTTTATATATTTTTACCTTGAAAGTACACTACAGTGTTTGAAATCAGTTCTTGTATAAAGCATTCAGCAGTATTTATATATATATATATGTTAAATGTAAAATGAAATAATAACAACAATAGCTTAAATCTTTTAGCTCACTTCTTTTTTAATCTTGTAAGCATTTTAATCACTTTTCCTCACTGCTTTGTTACCAGAGATACGTTATCCACCAAGTTATATTTGTAACATATTGAATAATTTTAAGGAAAAAGAATGCAAAATATGTGTCTATTAAACTAATAAATTAAATGATAATTTTATTTATAGAAACTCAATAAGAATTAATTGAAGAGACAATGTTAATTCATATTGCTATTTGATTGCATAAAATGTAGTATATGTAGCATTTGTAAAGTGTCATTAAGACAAATAAATGTCAGAAGACTTGCAAGCAGGTAAGGGCGAGGCATCAACCTCAGAGTTTTATTAATTTTAGGGGCTATGAAATTTTTTTAACATTTTTAATTTCTTTTGTTGTTTTGCCTTGAAAGTAGAAAGAGAAATTTAAACAGGTCTTAGGACTGTGTATTTTAACATCTACTCTTAGAAGTAATAGGAAAAGCATTTTGCTCTGTAGACAATAATCTTAAATTTAAGTAGGAAACGTTATCACTGTAAAAATGACAAAATATATAGCTGTGCTGTAAATACTGAGGTTTCTAGCATATTGCAGCAGTGCAGTTTTTCTTTTGCAAAAACAAGATTACACTTTAGGTCCATATCTATAGTAATTAGTATTAATTCAAATGTGAAAAGTTCTTCTACCCCCAGCCCCATTTTATTAGAAATGCATTGATTAGATCAGTATGATCTACTTCAGGTGTTGGCAATATGGTACTTGCGAAGTAAATTTAAAGTGCATGCCCCTCAAACACTTCTAATTGCAATGAATAATTTTAGTCAAAATTTTATCTTTACCATTTTAAGGTATATGAATTGTGTAATTCAACTTTTCACAAAAATTGAATTTTAGCTATATCTAGATAACAATACATGAGTAGATGAAATTAGTATTTGGCTGCTTCAATCATCTGATTCCACATATAGTGCACTATTTTCTTCTTTATCCTCCTATACTCTATCCAACAACAGCATGCAATGCTTTACATCTGTAACTTCTGTTCATACTTAAACGTATCATTTGATGAATTTGTATTTAGAGTTATATGCAGAGTATGCATTCTTTCCTTCAAAGTAAAAAGTAATGAAAACATACAGACAACACTTCTTTTGTAGTGTTTTAGAAAAAGAAAATTTTAATTTCAGCTGATTGTTGTGTATTAACAAATTATTTAGTTGCCCACCAACAACACTTTTCTTTTCTGGCTAGCAGCATTTATGAATAACATTTTTTATAAACGTTTTTGAAGTAACAAAACAAATATTTAGAATATGATAACTTCTAGAATCAATGTAAATTAACTCTATTTTTAATATAATTATATATTTATTTGTATTATTTTTATTATATATTTATTAGTCGCCTCATGTTGCCTACTGAATTGTTGCATTTCTGAAATGTGCCTCCTATTAAAAAAAAAAAGTTGCCGAAACCTGGTCTATTTGATTTAGTTGCAAAAACATGCTTAACCATTTGAGGTTCGGTGCATAACATTTTTTTTTTTTTTTTGAAAAAATAACTTTACACACAGATAATTAGCCCCTAATACAATGTAATTTAATGCAAAAAGAAACAGGTAAACCTTTAAGGTAATTCATGATGTGGTGGGATACCGCTTGTCCCACCACGCATCTAGAGCAGTAAAATGGCATCTTTGCCTGAGCGTCAATTCTCCTAACATGCTTATCTAAAATGCTTATCTATTTTTAGCTTATCTATTTTTAATGCTTATCTATTTTTAGCAACGAAATGAAAATGCAAGATATAAAAAAAGTTTTTGAATAATTAACTAGAAAATATTGATCATATTCACAAAAAAAATATTAAATAAAATACAAAATTTAAAAAAAATTGCTCTCTGCATGCCTTTTTAGATAATTTTTAATGATTTCATAATAGATTTGAAACAGGGAAGATTTTCGCTCCAGTACTTTATTTCTACAGGTTTGAAAAGGAAGATATTTAGAAGGCCGTCATGTTTATTTACATTTCACCTCACTTTCCTCTGCTTAGGATATTTTTCTATGTGTGAATCACACTCACATATCCATTCAATATTCATGACATTTCTGAAAAATATTCATTGGTAATTCTATTGTCATTTTTTTACTAAATTTTTCAAGTTTTAACATTATTGCAGTTTATTCAAAAATATAAATTTGCGTTATCAACATATAAAATGATCATGGTACTTGAATTTAAAAATATTTGAACGGTGCTGCCATCTAGTAGCAGTAATTCCTATGTGCACTTTGGGATGTATCCATCCCACCTGTTAATTTTAACCATTCTTAATTAATATATATGAATTCAAAAACTAATTTTTATTAGAAAAGGAAACTTTCACATAAAAACATTAATTCTAACACCAAAAGTTGTTGTTCAGACGATTTAAATTGCATTAGAAATTAAGGAAAAAAACTGCTTCAAAATTAGACGTACCTGTAAAGTTTTATTTTACAGTATTTCTTTGAATGAATACTAGTGCTGCCATCTGTTGTACATTTAGAGAACTAAAAGGCATAATTGTATGTATTTTAAATGGAATTTTGCAGCTTTCATCTGGGAGATAAAAAAGGTGGGATGCCTGGTGTCCAACCGCCTGTCAAAGGGTTAAAGAGCCATGTTAGTTGATATATGTAAAAACATTTTAGTTGATAATATATAATTCAAAACCCGCATATAAGCCGAAAGGAAAAGAATTCTTAGCTTTCAAACATGTCGTCATGAAGGTGAAAATTTTGCCAAGCAGGTAAAACAAGTGAAATGTTTTTCAATCAAACTGCTGTAAAGTTAAAATGTCAGATGCCAATGATGATAATTTTAACTCTGGTAACCCTGTCTGAAGTTAGCACATTTATTCCACTTATTTGTTATCTTGTATATGATCTGTGGTATCTGTGTCACATTAATTTTTCACAAGCTTAGGAAATATAAATGAAAGAAATGAAGATTGCAATGTTTAGGGTTTTATCATTTGTGCCATGCTTACAGGAAAAAAGTGGTTTTTTTTTTTTTTTTTTTTTTTTTTTTTTTTTTTTTTCCTCCTAGATAAGTGGATCTAACTCTATAATTAAGCTGTAGAAAAAGTTCCAAACATTTTTCAGTTTATACACAGAAATATACAGTACTTATCTAAAATCTTGAATAAAGTGTGTCTCAGAATTAATGTCTAACTTTTCTTTCTTTCATATGGTATTTTTCATTTCAATGCTTTATGTTAAATATTTATAGAGAGAGCTTTACTACCTGAAGAAAAGATTTGCGATACCATGGCAAAATGGGAAAGGTACCAGCAAGGTCAAAGCAAAGTCACTGCCAATAGAAAACAGCATTTCTTTTTATTTAAAGTATGCACATTTATATACATATTTTACCAAGCATAATTAAATGTTATTTGATTTGCAACTGACTAAATTATTCTTTATTCCTCTTTTTATTATTTTAGAAACATTTATTCTTGGATGCATACATTGACCTTACTGACAGAGTTGAGAAAGAGCTTCTTTATCACCAAATTGTTCATAATATTCGGCATGACAGATTCCCAGTAACAGAACAAGAAGCTGTAAGTTACTTTACTTTAATCTCAGTGCTTTATGAATAGAAATATTTTTTTTACTAAGTGTGTCAAAAGAAATATGAGATTAAAAAAATGCTGTAAAATATAGTTAATAAAAATACTGTTATCAAAGCATATTCCAGTTTAAATTTTTTATTTTTCAGCCTACAGGAATTTTTGAATGACATTGTTAATAGTAATAAAAGAGCATAAATGTTGTTAGAAATAATTTAAATTACTGAAAAAATCTAAAGAACTTCTTACTTTCCATATCTTTCATAGTTTTTACTTTTTTAAAATTAATAAATATTTAAAATGTTTTATCAAAACTCTTTAAATTTCAAAATATATTTTTCATTTGATTTAAAAAATATATGCAAACAAACTTAAAAATTGGTATATACAAACTTCTGAAAAAATGAATCATTTTAGAGTTTGATGAAAACGTGAACATTTTCATAAAATTTCACACTAATTTTGTTACTACTATCATATTTTACTTTTATACTTTAATATTGAATGAGCTAAACTTTGTTATTAAAATTAGTTTGAATTTGCACTTTCAATTTTGCTTTGTGATTTACATTATCAAATTTTGTGTTTTTCAACTACACGAATAACACTGTGCAGGTGATACATAATCTTAAGCTATTCATAATTAATGTAAGAAACACGTTTTATCTTAAATTTTAATACATATAACAAATGATGCAAAGGGACTTTGGTTCCTCTAGTCTTTCAAGTAGATTAGTTTCAAGTTATGATAGCGAAATTAATAGAAGATATAAATTTAGAAATTATTTAAAACCATCATATCAACTTTCTCATGTTTCAGGTCATGCTGTGTGCTTTGAAAGCTCAGCTTGATGTTGGAGACTGCCAGCAAGGAACTCTGGATTACAAGTAAGTGATTATTTTCAAAATATATATCTGAGTGATAAGTTTTATTCAGTTTGTTTTTATATATTTTCTTAAAATATATCTGCATCGAACTGTAATAAAATATTAAATACTAAATATTTTAAAATAATTAGTATTTAATCTTTTGTCACTGTAATATTTTATTCTCTTGAATGATTGTGACTGAATAAAATAAAGCATTTCATTGCAATAATTTTTAATCTTTGCATTTTTGTGTTAGGAGAGTCATGTGTGAATGCCTACCACCTAGAATAATGATGCAAATATCGCCAGAAGCTGTAGAGACTCAACATCGAATTCTGGCTGGAATGGATGTAGAGCAAAGCAAAGCTGGCTTCTTGATGTTAGTTCAGTCTTGGCCTCTGTACAGAGCTACCATTTTTGAAGTGATGGTTAGTTTTTATTGCATTGTTATTACATGAAAAATGTTTTTATGCTGACTTTACTGCAAAAATGTGAATCTTGTTTATGAGTTTTATTAAATTTCTCTGTAAATTGAAAATGCAATATTTTTGTACTAGTATATAGATGAACTTAAAATTCTTTAAATGTTAGTTTTTAGATTTTCTAATTGAAGTTAAAAAAATGAATAATGATTTTGAAATATATTTCATTCAATCTGGAAATAATGGTTTGCCAAATTTATTTTAAAACTAGTATATTTCTCATATGTCTTTCTGTGAAGAATTACATTTTTTTTTTTTTTTTTTTTTTTTTCATTTTCTTGGAAAAGGAAGTTCAAAAGAAAATTTAAATAAATAATGATAGGAAAATTTATTAAAATTCTGTTTTAGATTTTATTTCGAATAAATTCATATTTGACTGCAAATTTGAGAGAGGTAGTATACGATTAGAAGTACTAAGTTATTCTAAAAAAAAAAAAAAAATCTATTAAAACAAACATAGAAAGGATAAAAATAATCAACTTAAAACTGTTTTTATAACTGCATTTGGTAGCTCTCTAAGAACAGATGAAATTTAATTACCTGTGACTTATGAAATGCTTGCTTGGGGCTAAAAAAGTGAAGTAAAGCATTTTGCAATTAAGGTATGATATTTAATAATTGCAGTTAAAAGACGTATATTTTCAACTTTTCTTTTGTGTTTGTAATTGTTCTTTTATTTTTAAACTTTAGGCTGAAATTAAATGTAATTATCTACAACCCAGAATCTTGTATTCTGCAATATGATTTTTGAGTATAGTGTATAATTTGTATGTATGGATGTATCTATCTGTATGTGTGTGTGTATGTATATACACACACATATTGTACGAAAGGGGGACGCCCAACTAGGATAGTAGTTAGTGACTCTAACTGCCATACCGAAAGGCCCAGGTTCTAATCCCGGACAAGGCATGTGCATTTATAAATATAAAGTGTCTGTGTGGCATAAAGGCATTTTAAATATGCGGTGTGCCGAATGTCCTCTCAAGAGGTTAATAGTAGGAGAAGAAGAGTAGGAGACCATGAGTACAGTCCACGCTCCCAGGATGACAGCCCAACTTTTAGCTCAAAACTGAGCTAAAAATTGGGCTGTCACCTATATGGTGCTTAAGGCTCTTGTCAATGACAGGTGCATTTGACTTCTTACTACGACGAATGTTTTGGGCTTGTGCTGACCATTGTCGGACAACTGAGATTGGCAACATAAACATATAAAAGGAACAAAAGTGAAAAATGCATTTAAACTATGAGCACATTTAAATAAATCTTTAGCTAAATAGCATGTTTATCTCAGCATTAATAATGAATAGTAGGGTTTTACTTTCAAGCTTTATCAGAAGATTCAGCTTTGTCATAAAATTAATGATTTCAAGCTTTGTCATAAATTAAGCTTTCATAAATTAAGATTTCAAGCTTTGTCATAAAATTAATGATTAATCAAAATATATAATTATTTTAGTTTTGAATATCCTTCGTAGTCAGAGAATATATGCATTTGAAGCTTATAATTGCAGGGATAAAATTCTGTGTGATAAATTTTATTAAATAATAGAATTTAAGAATAAAGAATACGTCATAAATTACTTTATAATTTTTTAATCATAAATCTTCTGTAGTGGATTCTTTGTTTTATGTATAAAGTCCTTTCTTTGAAGATTTCATAGCACAATTTTTTTCATATTATTATGCAGTATATTAAACTTTGTTAGTAATAATATTTTTTATTTGATTAATTATTTTATATATTGTGTATGAAACCTATTTTCTTCATCTGTTTTTGAAAGAAGATTTTAAAGAATTATTCCAAAAAATTATAAGATAAATTCTTTTGATATGATTTCGACCTCTCATATTTTGGTAACCAATATCTGGTTATCAAAAATCTTGTAGCAGTTTTCTGAGAATCGTTGAGAATTAGTTTCTGTGCGATAAAACTCTTCTGTGTATATAGGATGATGATATATAATTTAATTTTAAGGTGTCATTGTTTTGAAATTATCTTTTGTATCCTCATAATTTTTATGTTGCTATATTAATACAGTTAAATTTTCATTTTGAAAAATTATTATATTGTTTAGTTATCCAAATTAATCTTTGGGGAAATCCAGGATTAAATACACATTTTTATCTTTTGCAGCAATCTTATACTTCTTCGTGGCCAAAAGCCTTATGGTTAGCAGTGGATCAAGTAGGAATACATCTCTTGGAACTTAGATCTAGGGTAAGGCTTTGAAAACAAACATTCTAAAAAAAATATTTAGAAAGGTTATTCCTTTTACGTAAATTATGTAATATCTTTGAACTACACTGAAATAAATTACCTTATTTACAACTTTGGCAAATCGGATTATTATTAATTGGGTCTTTAATATAAACAGGGCAACTTCATAGAAACATTGAAATTTTTCTTAGCAGATTAACCACATTATTTATTCATATGTATATTGTGCATTGAAATACATATGCATTGGACAGTATGAAGAAACTTAAAATTTATTTCAATGCTATTTGTATGTGGTTATGAGAGTGGAATGAATTTTAATTATAAATTAATATTTATCTAACTTGATACATCTCATTTTAATGTAAGTTAAAATTTGGGATTGGATAATTTGGCCCTGTGTAACTATTGTTGATAATGACTTAAGGTGCTAATTATCAACATGAATTACTAAAGGAATTAGAGCTTAATAATACAAAATAGATTGTGTGGGATAAACAATTTTGTATTATTAAGTTTCTATTAGGAATGTTTTACTTTCATGAGATCTTTGATCTATTTATATTGCAGATTAATTATATGCATAAATTACATTAGCTTATGTTATTCAAGTATATCATTTTCTAACATTTGAAATTTTAATGTTTCACATTTTATGTGAATATCTTCATAAATATCATCTTTTCTTTTATAATTTTTAGAATGTTCTTTGTACTTGTGAATATGAGAGTATCATAAACTACAGCCCATCTCTGAACAGCTTGATGATTGTGACAGGAACTGGCCGAAAAGGATCGAAATATATATTTTCTACCAATCAGGCAAGTCTGAAATGTATCATAAAGAAAATAAAATACTCCAAAAAGAAAAGAAAAATTTTTAGTCCTAAAATTAGTCTAATATTAAAGCTGATTTTCTAAACATTTTTGCTAAAATACTTCTGTTTTATGTTTGCCAATATATATATATATATATATATATATAAGTAGCAAGTAGTAAATTAGAAAAGATTTTTTGAGACCTAGTTCATCAAAAATTGCGCGTTGAGCTGCAAATTTAAAAGAAAGAATGATAATAAAATGAGAGGGATTTGATTTTGTTTTATAGTTTTTCTTGTTTAATATGTTGGTTTTTTTTCGCAAACAATTTCTTGCTTTGACATAGTTTTAGTTATTTTAACTTTGTTTAACATGTAATGTCTGGAATAGAATTATTCAAATGATCTTTACAACTTTAGCCATTTTTTCCCTCTCCTTTTATTATATATATATATATAATAAGCACACACAAACAAACACACAAAAGCATAGTTGGGATTATCAAGAGTTTACTGTATAACTGGCAAAATATTACAGAAAACTATCCTTTCATCAAAACAGGTATTATAATGATTAATTATATTTCTGTTTTAACAGTTGAAGAATATATGAGAGACACATATCAAGTCACTAATGTTTTATCAAATTCTCTTTATAAATAAGTTTGAGAACATAGATAGTTGAACCCTTACTTGCTTCAAATTGCTAAGAATTATATTTTTGTAGAGCGGATTGTAAATAAACAAGCACGCATGAATAAACACATAAGCACAGTTGTGATTATCAAGAGTTACTGTATAAATGGCAAAATATTACAGAAAAATAAGAAGCTCCTTTCATCAAAACAAGTATTATAATGATTAATTATATTTATGTTTTAACAGTTGAAAAAAATGTGAGGGACCCATATCAAGTCACTAATGTTTTATCAAATTCTTTTATAAATAAGTTAGAGAACATGAACCCTTACTTGCTTCAAATTGCTAAGAATTATATTTTTGTAGATTGATATATGACAGGGTATGTAATTTCAGTGAATTTTGCAATTTAATTTTTATTTTCCCAAAGAATAGAAGCAAAATTTTAAAAAATGGCTCTAAGCTTGTAAAGTAATTCTATTATATATACCATGGGAATGAACAAGTAAGTTAAGCTTAATTTCAGAAATATGTTAATCAGGTAAAGACTGTTACTTTGATGTGACATACATCTTAGTTGCTTGTGAAAAATTGTTCATGCATAGTTTATAAAATATTAATATCTATTTTTGTATAGAATGAATTTTTGAAACTGTAATTTGTTTCAACTAGAATTAATTCTTTAAACTAGAATTTCGAGATACTAAATACATTTTTTATTGTAAGAGTATGTTAATAACATAATGTTAAAAAGATAATTTTTTCCAGCATTCCAAAATATAGAAAATGTTTCAGTTTCTACTGAAAAGGTACATGAATAGGAACTAACGAAGTGTTCCCTTATCATTTATTTCTTCAGAGTGTAGGATATATCGGTGTTTAAAAATTAAATTCATATGAACACATAAATTTAAAAAAGTCTGTGATATGAAAAAGTTAATCATAAAGATGCTGTATATAATGTGTTATTATAATATGTAAGCCCTGTATAATGAGTACAGAGCTTTTTAAATAAACCCTGTAAGCCTTGTATAATAATGAGTATTAATTTCATGTATAACCAATAAAAATCACGATTTGCACTTTTGTTTAATTTCCCGTGAATAAATTATTTTGTAGATCTGTGCCGTTTTAAGATTTTCTTTTAAACTAATCATTTAAAAAATTATAAAAGTATTTTATGTATTTATCTCCTCTTGTAATGCATTGTAGATTTTTGTCTCAAGCTTGCTATATTTACTTATTCTTGTTGCTCCATTTTAGGCCACTCAAATTGCCCATCTCATCAAAGATTACACCAATGTGATAGCTATGAAACGAAAGCCTGTGGAAGTAGCAAGACGTCGCAGAACACAGGAACTCCACGATGGAGTGCCTCAAAAAAGCCATCGCCCTGTCAGTATTCTGTACAAGCCTCCACCACCATTAGTTAACAATGAACCTGTGTGAGATAATAAAATGATAAGTGGAAAGGAGTGCCTTCCATAAAGATTTCCATGAACAAGGAGAAAACTGGATCCAAAAGAGTTGCTACTCCTATATGTAAAATAATGTTTGAGACTTCTATTTAAAGTGATCATCTGTATTGAGCTGTGTTTTGACAAATGACTAAGGGTTGAACTGTTTTATAATTTATCCCATTCCAGTATTGGTTAATGACTTCTCTTAGATTTAAATGGACACTTTACCATTATATGAAGAAGATAAATTATACATGTTCATCATCACTGACCAGTTTTTAATTTTTTATTTATTGATACTTTTGTATCATTTTTTAAATTTAATTTATAAAATGTACTAAAATGCACTGTTTGTTCTTTGATATGAGATGTCGAATACTTGTCATTATCGGTGCTGGTGCAATGATTTACATAATATTTTACAGATTTTTTTATTTTGCTCTTTAAGGCTTTTATATTTTATTTTCATGTAGATGCAAATCTAAACGTACAATTTTTTTAATGTGTTATATTTCTTTATTCAGTAAATGTGTGTGTTGTCTTAGTTTGCTAAGTGAGAAAAGCATAGGTTAAGACTCAGTTATCTCTATACGGATATCTCTCATGCTCAAAATGCCATGGTGTGTGTTCTAAATGGCTCATCATTATTGCCTGTGATGTTTGATAATTTAAGCTTTACCCTACCTTGTGTGCAAAGTCATCTGCCAGATATTTTTCATCCATTTTTGCCTGCCTAGTTGCGAGGTGCTGTGTCAATTTTACACTGCTTAAAGTGTGGTTTAGCGAACCTGGGGTCAGTAGAAAATGCTAAATAGCTGCAAAATTATTAGATGTAGTGAGAAACGGTATAGTGAAATATTTTTCTTATCCTGATTGATTTTATCTCATTGAGTTTCAATGTACCTTTCAGTATAATGAGTGTTATGAAAGCAAAGCTTAAAATTTACATCATCCGTTAAAAATCTATGTAGCATTTTAGAACATTAAGGATATATTTAAAAAAAAAAAAAAAAGAGTTCTTATAAAAATAAACATATAATTTAGATTTGTAAATGTGAAGAAATTTTTAAACATATTTTTTATTTTTAGAGAATTAGAAAATATAAATTTGAATTTTTATGCAGAGATCTATTTCACTATGCCTTGTTTCATACTTGAAAGCATATTTTTTTTCTTTCATTTTCATATAAAAGTACCAATTGTTTTTGTCTGATGGCTATTTATACCATACTTGAGGTGCCATACTGTGGGACAGCCAAAGAACTTTTACTCAGTGCCAAGATTTCATGCTGTCTCACTATGCAATTGGAAATGGGCTTTTAGGATATGTATGTTTGTAAGAAAGGAATGTATACCATCTTGGCCTTTCCATGCAGTACTGTGGTACCAAGAAGTCCACCGTAGCGATGAAATGTGCACTAATACTATTAGATTAAGAACAGTGCAAACAGCAACCTTTCTAAGTGTGAATACCATGTATCCATGTTTCAAGTTTTTATATGAGTAGTTTCCGTCTTTTGGAACTGTTTTTTTTACTTAATGTACATTTTTCAAAATGCAGGTTTTATTTCGTGTGATTTTTAAATAAACTTCTTCAGTGTAGGATAGGAAAGATTTTTTAATGCATACTTAGTATGCTGTCAAATTGTTTGTTTTTATAGAAATTTAAATTACAGTACCCTTCTAGTTACATTGCAGCTGAAACAGTTTCACCATTTTATCAAATTTAGATTGCAAAAAAATTGTTTCTACAGTAATTTTCCTTTTTATTACTGCTATTTAATTCTTGTAATAGATGGGACTTTGTAATTTAAAGCTCTTTTAAGATGGCTTACACACTTACAGCAAGTATTTGATATTGTTTCTTCAGTTCATCAATTTTGGACAAAGAAAATATTTTCTGGCATCTGTATCATATGAGACTTAAAATACATTTAATGTTCTACATTTAAAATCTATGTTAAAATTTGCAGTTAAATATTTACTGATATAGAATGGAGGAATTCTCATACATAAATCATTGCATATTTATTATATTGGAACTGTTTAAATCTCTAAATTTGATCATCTTTGTCTTTCCCTGGTATATATTAAAATAGTATGCCCTTTTTCAGTAATAATTTTAAAAGGTACTATGATTTTAACAACCTGAGTAGAAAATCATTTTTAAGCTTACTTAGAACTGTCCTATGAAATTGGAATATTTTTAATAAATAATTATTATGGCTGAAGTAAGTACTTTTTTGAAGTATTATTGCAAAAATGAACATATTATTAAATATTACATGGTTAATTTTTACACTTAGATAAATAGAATATTTTCTTCAAGAATTTCCTATAAAGTTGACTCAAGTAAGCATTTGGCTGATCAATTCCCATGCTTTGTAATATTCAGGTAAGCAGAGAAGGATTTTATTTTTGAAAGCCCTGTTGTTTAAAAAATTTAACACCCTACAAAATACAAAATATGTAATATTTTTTATTTGCACCTGGGTTGAAAAAAACATTTCTTAAAACTCTTAACTTTATTATGAACAGGGTATTTTTGATCTATCTATAATGTTGCATTGCTGTATTCATAACATTGCATTTTAAAATTAACTGTTTTTAAAAGTGATCAAATGCTCTTCATAATTGTATAATACATCTTTCCTGAAAACAGCATTATGTTGTTTGGTTTTAAAAAATAATAAAATCATTAAGTAAATGCCATCTTAAATTAAAATTTATGCATGCAGTATATTGTAGAAAAACATAGATATACTATAATACTCGTATGTACTCAAACGTGCATAATCTGTACTCAAATCATTTTGTGAGGTTATTGCACAAGTTCATAATCTGAAGTGCTGAATGTATAAATATTTGTGTTTGAGATTTATGTTCATGTTCTTCACATGGCTATTTTGGGAGAATTTTTTTGGCTAATATTGTCAACATACAACCATATATTGAACTAAGGTATGATCAAGTTCATGTTATTTTTTTCGGGGGGGGGGGTTTGGATTTCTTAAATGAAAATATTTTTTTATTATTTTAACATGTTTTATAATTTTTAATAGGTTTAACTCAATGCTTTTAATAATTTATTTCTATTATATTTAAACTACTCTAAATAACATTGCAATTTTTTATGTAAAATATCCTGCTCCTATCCTTTCTGAAAACAAAAAGTCCTTTAAAATACTCAAAACAATTAAAAATAGTGTTGCTTATCATATTCGTATTTATTTGTAACTGTGATATGACAAAGGGTACTGTATGCTTGTTTTATATATTGATATGGGAAGATACTTGCAGTTCTAATGGAAGCTGCATTAATTTCAAAATAAACCAGAGGATGAAAATGCATGAAACTTGATAAAAATGTTAATAATGCTTCATGTGGTAATTGTTGTTTATCTCTGAACTGTAGATTTTGTACTGCAAATTGTAAACAAATTTTTCTGTAGGAGATTGAGATGAACTATTGTAAATTGACATTGAGAAGTTTGTATATTTATTCAAATAATACACCATTTGAATATAATCCCCTAATTCATATGTTTTCTGGGGTTCCTCTTCAATTTTGCAAATTGATTTAAATTTATAAAATAAAATTATTCTCACCTGTATAGATTTTTCAAATGTTCCTGCCAAATAGATTTCTTGTGGATTCTTCTGTTTAATAAGAATGTCTCGGTTCTGATACTGATTTTTTTTTTTTTTTTTTTTTGGTTGTTGTCATATTTCTAATTTTTTAATACATATACATTTTTGTAAATATATTTCCTCCTTGAAGAATCTCACATCCAGATGTCATATTTCCTTCTGTAGAAATATTAGACTTCATCCATTCTGATTGAAATGACTTACTAAAATAAGTATACTTTGTGTGAATATTAAAATCATTTAATATTTACTAAATCATTTGATATAAAGTCACTTTCTGTATACATATATTGATTCATATGACTTTTCAAAGCTGTAATTCATTTAATGATGTTTTTCAGTCTTAACGCTTTCCTTTGCATGACAACTTAATTTGCTTATGAAGTGCTGTGCCCACTTTGTATCTATAATCTTGCTGTATGCAAAATGTATCCTGGTATTTACTTTTGTAATCTATAAAATTTATTAATTTTTACTTATTCAAAGAAAGATCAGACAAAAACAAGGTAATACATTCTGGTTACAGAACTTCATGAGTTATTCTAGCAGAAATTATTTGTTAGTGAGTAAAATTTTATAAGAAAAAATTTGGTTAACCATGGTGCTCTACTCTTCTACCTTAACATGGTGCTGCTTTGAAATTGGTTATTCATATGTATGACTATAAGTAGCACTTTTCAATGCCTTATTCAAATGCAGAAATTAAAAACTTTTTTAAGAACCCTAATTATACATTTAAGGTAAACAAATGTAGAATAGGAGTAACACTGGAATTTCCCATTGTGTGTATTTCGAACTGTGCTGTTCCGTGAAAAACATTTATTGCAATAGTTCACATACTTATCTTTGACTAAATGAAATTATGACACATATGCATGGCTAGGATTTTGATAAATGCATGGCATTTAGACAAACAGTAGGCATGTAAAACTTTCCATGTGTTATTATTATTATTATTATTATTATTTTTTTTTCTTTTTACGTTAATGACTTAAAAATTTTTTCTCTTAGAATCCCCCATGACCAAATTTTAATCAACAAGGATATTGTGATTCATATAACAAAATGAATTATTTATATTACTTTAACCTGCTTTGCAAAAGAAAATAGCTATAAAGTTTTTTTTTTAAACCTGAAATCTAGGTTTTTGAAATTTTTCACTTTGCTAACGAATTTTTTTTTCAAGTTTTACATGAATATACCTCCTATTTATTTTATTTTACCATTTAAAGTTTTATGAATCTAAGATTAAGACAAAATTACCAATGAATTTATCTATTTTCTTTTACCATATGATAGTTAGAAATTGGTGAAAATAAATAAAGATTAGACTTTGTGTATTTTAATAGACTTCATATGGGAAATGAGAATTACATTTTTATGCAAGTGAAAGTATATTCTCATGTGGTTAGTCAAGACTGCATAGTGTATTTAATTTTTGTTGGAAACTTTGCAACAATTTTTTACAAACACTGAAAAAGGCATAGTTAAAAATATTCTTTTTACAGTATTGCAGTGCTGAATGCTTTTAAGCAATAAGTGTTTTATGAAAATGATCTCTTTGGGATTGCTTAATACTTGCCTTTGTTTTTATATCTTATATCATTCTTTATCAAAACCCTAATTACTGTGATTTCTTAAGATAATGGAAGATTTTTAAAAATAATTATATAAAAATTTTATACATAAGTAGACCACACAACTTATTATAAATTCTATCTGCATTATGCTGTTATGTCTGTGTTTTTTGTGTTATAAGTTTTATGTATAATTAATGTATATAATATTTATGTTAAAGTCGTATATATTAAAACAAATTTTGCATTCATTCAACTTTGTTGAAGTAGATTGTGATCTCTCTAGTATTGTAACAAAATTGTCTGATGAATATTTAAGGAGTTTAAAGTTCTTATATTTAACTTTTCTGAATCATCAGACAAGAGAATGTAAATTTCATATTGCAATTGTCAATGGATGCATAATATATTTTTAAAACCCTTGTGTGCTGGGTTTCATTTTATTTGTGAATATTTGTCTTCCGAGTCTCTCAAATGCTTATTTATTGAACATTCCTGTATCAAAGCTGGTTATACATTATGTATATTATTGTGTTAGTTGTACAAATTAAAGGTGGACTCTAGAGCTGTACTTCATAAAAAAAAAGTTTCTGTCACTTATTCATTTTTCTTAGCATAAATATCATTATATTTGTAATATGATTATTCAAGGTATGTTATTATAGAATAGCTATATGATGTTAAAAAAATTAAATTAAAATGGAATTATTGCTTTTGAGTTCATATGGAAAAATATGAATATTTTTGAGTTAGGTCTATTAAAAAATATGCTTACTTATCTAATGGATAAAATACATTAACACACTTGATAAAGTTTATATAAAAATGTGTAATTATATGTAAAATCAATTCATGGGATACAATGACTTAAAAACAACAATCTATTATACTTGGGCATACATTATCTCATAGGATATTCTAAAATCAGATGACATAATTAGAAGATCATCGAATAATTCAAAAATTCTCCTTGGAAATAAAATGTCATAAATTTCAACTAGCAGAAGCAGAATGTAATATTTTGCTTAAATGTCATGGAAAGTATTTCTGAATTAAGGTACTAGTAAGTGTGTTTATGATTCATACAAGAATATCAAGATCATAGGTAAGACATGTGAGCCCTTAAGTTGGTTTGTTTAATAATAGGTTTAATTAGATAATGTGTATGTTCACTGGTAAATAAGATAGCAGCAGTTTAACAGCTATTTAGGAATAATGGATTTGCAGCTTTGTTTTAAGACCATTAAAATTGAAGTTTAATGGATGCACTCCATTTGTGTTGCAAGAGAGCCAGTTATAAGAAATGTGATATGGGTTCAAGAATATCAGATTTTAGCGCATTATATTTTACACTTTTTGAATGAAGTAACATATTACATGTTCATAAATTAGTTTTCTTAACCCTCTGAGCACCATGGCATATTAGGCGACATATAATATACACCATGACATTGGTGTATATTAGCTTAGATATTTTGCTTTCTTACTTTCTTTTATAATATAAATACCATCTTAATAAACGTAAGTTTATGAAAATAGAGATTAAAATAAGTAAATATACAAATCCAGCTAATAAAGGCTGTTTAAATACAGATCTTGTGATGGATCCATATACCTGCACCTCTCAGAAGGTTAAATTTACAATTAAAAAGGTTTCTGCATAATCTTAACATTGACCTGATTAGTGATCTTTTAGCAAACAATTTAAAAATAATAATTTGCATTATTCGAATGATAGATATAGAACTGAAATATTTTTGACTAAGGTGATAATTAAGATAATGAAAGATACCTGTGTGATAATGATAGGGTAATTAAGATAATGAATCATTTAAACTATTTTATGCTCCCCAAATAACTTTTTTATTTGATTTCAAAATATTATTAGTTTTCATTCAAAACTAATGTATTGGATGTTCATAAATAAATATTACTTTAATAATAATGAGATATGTAAATAAATATTACTAGGACTCATGTCCATATTACTTCGTAGTTTGAATTCCCTTTTTTTTTTTTTTTCTTTTCTTCCTAAATTGCTTCACTGATTAGTGTTATGCCATTAGGAATATCATCAATTAATGTGATATTTAGATCTACATTCCAGCACATAAACATAATGTCCACATACAATTGATGATATTGCTAATGGCATAACACTAATCACTGAAGCAATTTAGGAAAAAAAATAAGGGGGGAATTCAAACTACGAAGTAATATGGACATGAGTCCTAGTAATATTTATTTATATATCTCATACATTATCTCATTATTATTAAAGTAATATATATCTAAAAAAATTGGCAAAACAGCAACCTTATGTTTGGCCTAGATTTTAAATTAAAATTGTGTCAGTTTTGAGGCAAAGGTTCTTCTTTGTCAGCATTAAAAAATTCTCCATCTTCTTTTGAAAATAATGTGAATCAGTTTAATTGCTGATGGCAATGCTTGCTCAAAACATTTTATTTTGATCTCTCAGTTCTTTGAAACAAAAATGAGCTTTTCCTCAAGCTTATTTATAGATTATAACACAGTTTATATAAATAAACAACATGGATTTCTTCCATAAAGTTCCGGTACTTTTTTTTTTTTTTTTTTTTTTTTTCCAGCACAGCATGGTCACTACCACATGGCCCAGTTGGTTGTTAAGTGCCCTACATGCAGTTCTTTTCCATTCCCCGCTGTTAGTTTTGATTTGATACATCTCAAATTTGTACCAAATTTTAAAAGCTAGTTAAGCTCAAACTTTCCATTTACCCTGCATAAATTAACCTGAGGTACTACAATATGTTTGGGAGATTATTTACTCATCAATTTGATTTTAACCTTCAGTGTGTTCTTTATCTTCGAAATCAGCAGACAGCATGTCATTTGAGGAAAAGGAATTCATTGTAGTATTTCAGCAGTTAGCACCATAATCAGTTTTTCAAACTGCTTTTATTTGAGGCTGCTTTACAGCTGTCCAAACAACTTTTATATATTACGTTTGATAGAAAATAACTCAAATTTCTTAAGATAAATTCAGCTGTTAATTCCTTCTCCCATATTAAACTAGCAGTCAACATTTACTGTTTAGAAAGCTTCTGCTCATCACTTCATACATTTATAGTGAGCTCAGTCTTTCGTATCAATCAGGTATTTCAATTAGGGAAAAATTTCATAGGTATCGATTTCTTATGTATTTGTACAGAATTTGAATAACTTTACCTTGACAGTAGCGGAAAAGAACTTTTCGTGGCTAAAAAAGCAATTAAGTTTCACAAGTTAATTGAACTTATTTAAATAAGAATAATAATTCTTACGATTTTCGTAGCCCTCTTATTAATGGCGAAAATCGTTAATTTTATGTTTTGTAACCAAAGCTTAAATTGCACCGGAGCCCGGCTCCAGTACGTCTCACTTTTTCAGATAAATCATAATTTTAGCCGAAGGGTTTTCAGATAAACCATAATTTTATTAAAAGGCTTCGACAATTCTTTAAAATAAATGAGCCACAATTTCAGCGGAAAAATTTTATTTTAATAATAAAAATGCTTTAAAACTCTATTCTAACTTCTGAATCCAGGCCCGTCTTTCTATCGGACACAAACTTAAACAGAGTTTGAAACATTTAGGAAAGAAATGCCACATGCCAAAGGCTTATTCTCCAGGAAGTGCAGTGAATTTATGATGGCGCGTAAATGTTTTTCTTCCTGTAGGTACTAAAAATGACCTTTTTGGTGTATGACCATCTTGCCACGCCAGTGACTTCCTACTACAGAGTTCCTATGCTTATTCTTACCTTGTTATCGGATTCAGGGAAAATTTCTGCATGACGGCTAGAATTATATCGACAGGGTATCGCGATCAGAAAGTCTTGGACGCTTCCCTTTTTATTTTCAAAGCTGTACTTTTCCGTTAAAATTTCCTTCCATATCCTTATACCGTTTCCTGAATTATCACTATTCTTTGAGACGCTTTAATCGTTTTATCTTTTTTCATTGGTGTGCTATAAAAAATAATGGTTTTTATATATCTATCATCCCTTGAAATAGTATATTTATGCGTATAATCAGGGATTAAATTCAGAATGCTCGGCTGAGCTGCTTCTTAGCTTCTGAATGGAATAATCCCAGCCGGAGCCTCAAATAAGATGAGATCCGATAATTTGTTTATTTAACTGTTTAGTAAATAATTAAATAATTTATTAAATTTCTATTTTTCTTTTAATTTTGATTTTATTTAAAATTTAGTTATTAATTAATTTTTCTCCTTAGAAATGAAACCCTGTTTGTAACATCAAATGAAAGTACAGTGAGATCGACTTTAAAATATTCTATATTATATTTAAAAAACTAGTTCTTCAAGAATCTGTAAAAAGATTATCAAGGTATTATGTCTCTAACCGTAAATGTTAAAAAAAAAAAAAAAAAAACTTTTAACAACTATTCCTTCTTCTATGATTCTTCCATAACATGCTCCATGTCCTCGTTAATACTGTAATAGGCCGCATATAAAAGCGAAAATGAAATAAGGTTATAAGACCTATAGCGGAGGTATTTACAATTGCTGGCGCTCACTTTCCATTTTCTTATTTTAGTACAGCATTTTAGAGAAAACTAAATTTCTTTTCTTTTCCCTTTCCCTATTTAATAGCGAAAAAATGGACATTATCTGACATTTCCATTGAATACGGACGTTTTAAAATAAATTGGGATTCAGAAGTTTATAAAATTTATATTAATTTTTAGAAAACGGAATTTATAACGTCGGCTCAGTAGGTTGTAGAACCGCCTTGGACGGTGATACACAAAGAAACACATCTAGGTACAGAGTCAATGAGACAACGGATAGTGTCCAGAGGAATGGCTCTCCGTTTCCTGTCAACCATTTGTAACAATTCGTCTTTTGAACGCAGCAATGGCAGGATCTGCAAATAGCGTCCAACCACATCCCAAATGTGTTCGATTGGTGAGAGATCAGTAGATAACGGTGGTCAGAGAAGCATCTGAACACCTTGCAGATCAGGTTGGCTGATTTGAGCAAAGTGTGATCGGGCGTTATTCTGATGATTAAGGGCATTGGGGCACTCCCTGTGAATGTAGGAGAGTGTCACAGGCCGCAGCACATTATCCGCGTATCATTGGATCGTTATAGTACCCTAAATATGAACTAGAGATGTTCTGGAATCGTACGCAATTGCGCCCCAAACTATCATAACGCGTTGTCGCGTTCATATCATAACGCGTGGGGCGTTCCACAGTTGCTGCTCGATTAGACCTGTCGTACTCGGGGACTACAGAAGCGTGACTCATCTGAGAACACGACACTGTGCCGTTCTGTCGTCCACATCGCTCGAGTGCGGCACCATTGCAGATGTTGGCGTCTATGATATGGGATCGGCAGTCTTCTTAACGGCCGCCATGAGTGCAGGTCAATAGCCAACAATTGATGGCAAATGGTTCTGGTAAATATGGGAACATCCAGGATGTCTTGAACATGTTGCAGAATGGAGATAGAAGTGATTTGTGGGTGTGCCACTACTTATCGGCGAATGCGTCATTCTATGCGTATTGACGTCACTCTGGATGCACCGACCTTGGATGC